AAAGATTTTAACTTTATTCACTTACGTCGTGTAGATCATGGCATCGAAACGTAGAAGAACTGTAATGACTGGAGCGGAGCGAGTGAAATGCATCCGTTTGAGCAAGGCTGGACACAAAGTTAAAAGCATCCAGCAGACACTTGGAGTCGGAAAGACGCAAATCTACGAAACTTTAAAAAACAAGGCATCGATTCAACTCCTGATGACAAGCCACCATCCAGCGAGGAAGCAATGCAAATGGCAACAAATCCATCAGTATGTACAAGAATTACCAGACATCGGTGATCAACGGGACAGTTGCAACTAGCAACAAAACTGTATGACACGCAGGCAAACATTGTCATAAACCAAAGAATGCATACAACCAAACAATCCAAAATAGACACACTTTTTTTCCCAAGACAGAAAAAAATAAACATTAAAATACTGTATGTATTTTACTGTTGTGATTTTTTTTTTTGGATACACCTGTATTGCAGTTTTTGTTATATAAAGTTTTTGGACAGTATATTTTTGTATTTTATTGATTGTGTTGCTACACGTGCATTTTTGTCAGGCTCAAAAAGGACATGTACCATGCTCATTTCCCAAATGAGGAATTTCTGTTATCAGGACAAATTGGACAGCGCAAACACGAGTCCGCACTAGAGAATATTTACTGTATGTCAAACTCTGATCGGTAAAATATGTCTTGTTCAGTCTCCCTGTTGGAGAGCTCAGCTCTATAGAGTTTCAGGTGAGCAGACTTGGGCAAAAGGCGGATGACACCCTGGGCTGATCACCAGTCAACCACAGGGCAGTTGTTAACACACTATTCCCTCACATTCACACCTATGATCAATTTAGAGCACAGATGTCAAACTTGCGGCCAGGGGTCCATATACGTCCCAAGAGATATTTGGCAGACCCTTACTTTTAACATCACAGTTTAATGGTAGTGTGACCCCAAAGTTTTTGGGTTATTTTTGCCATCTTATTGCCTTGGGTGTTTTGATGCCAGCCCAGACACATCCAGACTATATATCCAGCAGGCCCCACATAACCCCTGACTGAGAGTCTTCAATGAGACTCACATGCATGTCTTGGATTGCAGGAGCAAGCCCGAGTACCTGGGAAAAAAAAAAAATCTCTTAAGGCACAGGCACACTCCTCACAGGAAGGCTGGAGCCGAGGTGTAAACCTTGAACCTTGAGTCAGACATGCTGTCCAATATGTGATAGTGGACAAAAGTATTAGGGTGTGTGTGTGTGTGTGTGTGTGTGTGTGTGCGTGCGTGCGTGCGTATATCTATATCTATATATCTATCTTTGTATATACAGTATATATACAGTATATATATTATTTACTGTGTATATATATATATCTGAAGACAACCAGCAAAAATCGGTTTAATTTCTCTCTCTCTCTCTCTCTCTCTCTCTCTCTCTCTCTCTCTCTCTCTCTCTCTCTCTCTCTCTCTCTATATATATATATATATATATATATATATAAACCCATGTCTTCAGAGGCCCCCCTGTGTGGAGCAGTAGTTCGTCCCATGGCTGCGAAGGACCACTCCCTCGCACTGGTTCCCTCCCCTCTGCAAACCAGGAGTTCAACCCAGCACCCTATCCGAGCACTCTGCTCAGCCCAGAAGAGCAGCCACACAAGGAGAAAAAAAAGTTAAAATCTACTCAGCAGAGAGAGGAGGGAGCGAGCAAGAGCGGAGGAGGGTGGGGGGGGGAAAGAAAACGCCCTGGAAACTTTGCTTGATCGAAAAGTTGGAGAAGTCATAGAATCTCATCAAAGTTGAGAAGCGCTCTTTTGGGCTGTGGAGAAGGGGAAGACGACGACGTTTTCAAGGATGCTCAAGCTTGTGTAAGGCTTCTCGGGCGCAACGTGTGTGCACAGGTATAGATACTTTTTTAATACCATACATACTTCTTACTCTTACTGTCATCTGAGCTTTGCCTCAAGTGATTATCATTGGAGGAAAAACTAACAAACTTGGCAGTCTAGCATTCCTGTCATAATTCAGATGGCATTTGCGTTGAGTGTGGATCACTAGTGACGTGTTCTAACTTTTGCAAGGTCTTTTTCGTCTCTCGGGGGTGAGGGCGGGGGTCTTATAATGTTGTGTTAATTTTTAATATTATTATTTTCTTGTAGTTAAAATGGAGCAGGTTCAAAAAGTGGGTGTGTACCTGCAGGCTTCACGTGAAGGTACATGACTGGAATTGCGCACTTCACTTTTCCTTTAACTGCGCAACAGCGTGTGAGTCAAAGGCGGTTCATGCATAAAAGCTGAAGTCAGTGATAATTACTGCGTTGCATTTACATTTGGGATTTGCTGTCCCAAACACTCAGAAACATTCTTATTCTGTCCAGACGCAACATGTGATTCGGTGCTTTTCAAGGGGCACTGGAGTACTCGTCACTCTTGATAAAGGTTGAATAGAGAAATGGCTGTCAAGATAAGAGTCAAATTGCCAGTGTTAGGCTTATCACTTGGTGTTTTCCTGTTTTCTGTCACCCTTTGCAAAGGGTTCCCGAAGGGAAGGCGTGCAAGAGATGTGGACGTTGAAGAAGTAGTTGCGCAGCCATGCGCGTCTGTAGCCACCAACCAGTATGGGTGTGGATTCCACTCCTTCGCCTCCTTCCACCCCCTCCTTTTTCTCTCTCCCTGTGTTCTTCTTCTCGTGGAGGCACACCCTTTCTGCAGCCGAAATCTCCATGCTTAAACATTTATGGCAAATCCACCAAAAATACCCCCAAAGTATCATGCTGGATGTGAAAATGAAATCTATTTCGATTCAGAGTAGTTTGACTTGTTTCTGCATTTGAGGGCATATTTGGTTTTCCCCAAAATTAATAATAATTGAAAATGTGTCAGCTTTGTATGACTTTTTTTTTTTGTTTACCTGTTTTATGACTCTTAATGGGGTTTGCATAACTTTCCAGATCATGAGTGTCAGACAGTAGAAAGTTTAAACAAAACGGTATTTTCGATCTCATAGATACATTTTGAAAATGTTTAGTTTGCCAAATTATTCCTCTTTCTCCATTTCCTCGTGGGGCTTTTAACTTTGGTTCTTGGACTGGGGCACAGGGCGGTAGAGATGAGGGGAGAAGGCGCGAGCAAGACGGGAAACGGACGAGTAAGAAGGAGGGAGTCTGCGAGGAGGGGCGGGGGGCGGAGCAGGGGTGAGGAGGGGGGTAATGGAATGCAGTGGTTTGGAAAGACAAGCTAATTGAAACCAGGTTTAAGGCATGAAGGGGGAACTTAGACCCTGCACATTCGTGACCAAAATGGTTTTTCTCCATCCAGAAGTTTGGTAAAAGATGACATCTTTTCAGATTTGCCTCTAAATAGATTCTTTATCATCTGTATCAAATTCACCCACAGCAATAATAGGATATAAAATAACAGGAAATAAAGCAATTGCAAGAAGTCATTCATATCTTGTTGAATTCTAGCAGAATTCTAGCAGCGTTAAATGTCAACGTGTGCAGTTGCCTTGTCCCCACAGCACTCTCCTGCCACACCCAAAAAAAAACATTTCGGTGAACTGTTGCTCTTCTCTGCATACTCTTTGCTCTCCATGTTATCTGCTGAGGGCTTGTAATTGTCTGGCGTTTCTCAAATTGCTCCTGTCAAGGTGACTTGACTGTGACGTAGGCCACTCACAAAGTCAAATGATCCTGGAGCGGGCGAAGGGTCTCGTGTAGTGTACTTTGGCAATAGCACTGTTGGAATGTCATAATTCGTGTTTTACTTGGTGATAATGTGGTGCTAAGTATTGTTTGACACGTTACTCTGAGTGAAGGCTAGTGTCGTGCATGTACCTGCACGACACAAAAATGAATACATAAGCAACATCGATCGGAGGTGTTGAAACTCTCCGAACTGGTTGTGAAAGACGCTCCAGGCAAATACCGTTTGTTTAAATACTCGTGTTGCGAAGCAATGAATTGACACAGAAACCACATCATGGTGTCATGTGAAGTCGTTGGAGACATTTTCATGGAACACACGCTGTTTTGCATCAAGTCATGTGATTTTTTTTCTTTTTTTTTTTTTTTTTTGCCAAGACTGAACTGATCTTACGAACTCATCTTCCAAAGACAGTCAGCACGAATATCTATCTATCTATCTATCTATCTATCTATCTATCTATCTATCTATCTATCTATCTATCTATAATTTAGAGTGTTACATTCACTTGCCACGTATGTTTTTGGAATGTGGGAGGTAACCGGAGTACCCTTAGAAATCCCGCGCAGGCACGGGGAGAACATGCAGACTCCACACAAGAAGGCCGGACCCGGAATCGAACCCTGCAGCACTGTACTTTGAAGCCGACGTCCTAACTAGTCGATCACCATGCCACCCTATTTATATATTAATATAGAATTATGACTACGAAGATGAATTCCTCAGTTCATGAGCGAAGAAGAAAATGAAATATCGATAACGAAAGGTCATGCAACTCAATCTGCGCCAGAAATGAACGGCTGATCACCCTTTTCCAAAGTTTTTGCATATTCTTGCTCACTAACAACATGACTATCATCCCTTCAGGCAGATGTAACTATCCAGAAGAGCAAGACATGCTGGGCACGTTTTGTAGCACCACCTTCTCCGTATTATTTTCTTTTTACATGGCAATACTGCCCAAAAGGAGCAGTATGAGCCAGGCGGAACGGAAAGAAAGTTGCCTCTAGCCCACTTCCTCTTCCTTTTCCTCTGTTGGGTCTGTTAGATTGTTGATAGGAGGATGGACCAATGTGAAGAGGCGACCACCATGCTCTTGGATCGATTTAGCAGCTGTACTAAAAGAAGACGGCAGCTATTGCGCCACGGCTGGCTGTGTTTTTGCTTTTATTTAACCCTGCACTTTGACAGCCATTCAGAGGCCTCAATTTAACTCTGAGACATCACAGATCTGTGGAAAGAAACCCTCGTGCAGAGTGAGGAAATAAAACAATAGCAGTTTTGCAGATAGAAAAGTGTCTCTGTGAGAGGAGTTTACACATTCTCTAGCAGCGTATAAACATGTAACCATAGTGTGTGAAGTTTTTAAGAGCCCCCCGAGACAGTCCACCCTGCAGCCACTCCCTTTTCGTTCATCCAGTACTTGGGTTTGGAATGTCTCAGAGTGTCCACAGTGTGCATTTGTCTGCCTTGTTGTCCAGACAAAGTGATTTGAGAGGTTTGGTAATACGTTTGCCATAAAACAAAAATGATTAACATCCAAAACCTTGCAAGCCAAATTGTCTCTCATGAGGGAAGACACGCTCGCAGGGTGTGTTAGGTTGACCTCGACCTCTGTTTGTTTCTAGCATCATCCAAAAACTACTTTCAGGATTTTCACTCAACCTCGGACAACTGGAAAAAAGCAGATCCGGGATTTTTGGTAACTTTGATCAAACAGCAAACGTTAATGCTCACCACATAAGACACCGGTGTTAGGCCCATTTTTTTTTTCACCCCATGTAATCTGAAAAAGAATTCACATTGGCTTTTCTTTTCTGTGACCTTTTCCAGGTGCAGTTTGCCAGGCACTCTGCATCGAAGGAAGTCTAATATCTATAAATATACATTGTGAAACTATGCTTGCAATTCTGCCCTCCTCTTCACCTTCTGCTCTCCAGCGCTATGAATGGACTCGCACTTGCTCTTGTTCCAATGGCAGCTGTGATGGACAGAAACAAATCCTGACTTAATTATGAAGTGTGTAATGCCGCGAGGGATCATGCGCAAAAGCCTCACATTGCCATCTTAATTTTATTGTGGCACCATTTCACTCATTGTGATGTCAACCGAGTTAAACAAAATGCGCCTCTCTTGATTTTGAGTTCCATCAGGATTTCTTTCGGCTTTATCATTGTGCAAAACCGTTATTTCGGCTTATCTTTCATCCTGATATGACGTAAATGGAAAGAATGGAATCTGTCCAATAAAAGCAACGGGACTTGACAAATCCTCGTTGTTTTGGAGGAAACACTCGCTCTCAAACATTAACCTCAGGAGAGGAAATTCAATCAGAGGTCCTCCCACCTCGCATATCCAGTAATGCAAGTGAAAACAATGAAAACCTGCCCCGCACATAACTTTACCTTTCATTTTGTCTGTTGAAGTTCCTTGTGCGTATGTCTAGTTTTTTTTTTTTTTTTCCTTTCTCTTTTCCGACGTCTCCCGAACTCACAACGGTTTTCACAAGCGGGCAAGCTAGCGTCAGTGGGCGGGCTTTGTTCTCATTCAGGACTTGCGGTTTGGTTTAGGGATGCAGTCCTGCATGTGGACTGTGGAGCACTTATCTTGACATGCATTCCTTCTATATGCGCTCACACATGCATCGCCTAACTGCATGTTTGAAGGGAGACGGAACCGAGGCCTTCTCTCCTTACTTAGTTGCACATTGTGAGAACAGGGAGTCCATTCTGTTTGACAATAATTTGCTACCTCCTTTCTTCCTTTTCTTCTTTGCGGCCTTTATTTTCAGGCTTTGCCAAACCCTACAAAGTGGCTTCCTCACTTACACTTGAGCCGTTACCACAGTCACACGGGTGCTGTTTTATGTTCATCAAAATGATTGCATTTGGCGATCAAATAGACGTGGGCTGACTTGAATCCCAGATTTGTTTGACCCATTGGGGTTGGGTGTCTAAGCAAGGCGCATTTTTTTTCCTTGCATGAGCCACTGTGGCAAAGAGGTAGCCAAAGACAATTTCATCGTGATTTTCGAAAAACCCGATGTTTGAAAGTGTGTGCTAGAGATAGAAAGGAAAATGTTCGAATATGTGCGGCGTTCTTGTTTATTTAAGCAGAACTTGCACATTGGGGGTGTGGTGGACTCACTGCAGGAGGTGGGAGTGGGCACTCTTGTCGGGTGCATGCAGGCCTGGCGGTACAGAATGGAGGCCGAGTGAGGCAGAAAGAGAACATTTCTGTGGAGTTAGTCAGTGTGGGGAGAGGCTGGGCTCACTTCCAGCTGGCCCGACGGCTCTATCAAGGAATGCGTGCGAGTGGAGGCCTGGGTGGGGCCATGCTCTGAGCTTCTCCCTCTGCAAGCATAGCAGAGGTGAAGCAATGTGAGCGGACTTCTGGACTCCAGGCACTGTGCTTTCTTATGGACATGCGTTTTTATTTGTTCGCCCACTCTTGGTGTCCGCTTGTGAGCGTGTGGTCGCCTTAAAGGTATCAAGGCCGGAGGAGCGGTATCTCTGAAATCAGCGCAAGCAAACCGGCACAAAATCTCACCCCAAGCGAGTTGTAACCTCATGCAGATCCCACACCCATCTAATTTTGTTTTCTGTAAATTAGGCGAATACAGCTGTGAGTTTGTTTGGATGATTCGGTTGAATTGCTGCTTCAATAGCACCCTGACGATTATGATACTGCAACAAGGGTGCGGGATGCAAAGTGTGCACAGCTGCTGTACCTCAGGTCTCCTTATGCAAACAAACTGCTGTTGGGTGGCATTTATCTCGGCAACGTCCCTTCTATTTGAAAGGAGAGTCAATTCAAAAATGCACGAGGGAAAAATGAGGCAAACTAAGGTCTTATGAAGGCCGACAATCTCACCAATGTTTTTCTCCTTGTTAACTGACGATTGATAATGAACAGGATGGATGACTAAGGGAAAGATTAATGCTGGAGCTGCAGAGCTTGCCACAGAAATATTATTCCGAGGGGCATGTTCCCACTGGCAGATGCCTGCCTTTATACACATTGAGTCTGGTTCTGCTTGTACTTTGCTCTAACAAAGAAAAGGCTTTGTTTCCAAATGTGCGAGTGGGCTGAACCAACAATCTGCGCTCGTCATGTAAGAGCTAGGGCAAGTCGCAACAAGAAAACATATTAACATCGCAAGAAAAGTGAGACTTTAAAAATGGAGATAAGTATCGGGCTGTGCAAATATTTACACATGATAAAACTCGACCTATCGAATGTTAACAATATGATAAAAAGTTGGCGATATGTCACGGACAGTTAACCTTTCACTTTTGAACTTGAACTTCTGATCTAATCATCATCATCCGACTGTTTTTCTGGAACAGCTAGCCAAGCAGCTGACTTGAAGAGTGAAGATTGTTCATTGCGATGAAAATGCAATGTGGTCATATCATGTTAAATACATTCTCATCCTGTCTGCTTTTCTGTCACCAGAAGTCAAGAAAACAAGAACCAACGCATCAGACTGAAGCCCGTGGCCTCGCTTGAGCTATCCAAGGTAATTGTCCTTGTCTTTGTCAAATAGGAATCCTCTCGACACATCTGTTACTGGTCGGGGAAGGAAAACGAGACTTCTGATCCCACCCTCCCACTTGTGCACTCCATGGCCATCTTGTCAGTGTGACTTCAGAACAGCCCTCCATTATGCAGACAGAGAGCAACAAGTGCTGGAATGTTTGTTGCAAAGCCTCCTTTGACTCCAGATCGTGTCTCTGCCGTTCTAACTAGAACAGAAACTTGATACTTCTGCACCCCGTTTCTCCCATTTTTCTTTTCCCTCCCCCGGCTACCACCTGTTGGGCTCCTCGATCGCCCTTTCCGCTTTTTATGAAACAAGTCTATAAGAGCCCGACAGGGTCGCCCGTTTTAAGTCAGCAGCTTCGGATGATTTATTCCCTCTGAGCGGAAAAAAGGCGAGTAGAAACCACTATGCTGTCTCTGTTGCTGTTGAGCAACCCCCAACTGGGTCCCAAAGCGGCTCCTAAAGCCGCAGCGACCCGGATACCTGCAGACCCATTTGTCGGCTATTGACTGGGAACTGTTCGTAGCTCGAAGGCACGCCCAACACCGCTTGGAGGGCGTTCCCGAGTTGGGCTGCTGTCTCTGTAGGCCAAGAGCAGAGCAGAGAGAGAGACATCCATATGTTCTTTGGTCACAGCCCAGTAAATAAAGGCCATCGCCTGGCTCACTGTCCTGATCTGTATTGCTCTAAACGCATTCCAAACCACAGTGCATACGATGATGGAGTGTTTCATCTTCCCTCTGCTTTAAAGAGTTCTACAGGAAACCTGTTTGTGCACACAAAGAATGGGACTCTGACGTAGGAAGAGAAAGAACAGATAATGACTGTCATGGTGTGTGGCTGCGTGCCTGTCTTATGATGAACACAAGCTTACTCATTGAGGATCAGTCTGCATGGAATTACATGATCCTAGCTGATTACAGGATGCCCGATTACAGTAGATATAAAAAGTCTCCATGCTCCAGTTAAAATGCTAGGTTTTTGTGACATAAAAAATTGATAAATAACCTCTCCCCCCCACACACACAATTTCCACCCGTACCATGACCTACAACCTGTACAACTCAATTGATTAAAAAAAGACGCGAGTGGAAGTAAAATTGATGAAACCAAATAAGTGCGCACACCCTCTTATAACTGGGATGACTCTGTGTTCTAAATTAACCAATCGCACTCAGACTCTTATTAAGTGGAAGTCAGACATCACCTGCTACCATTTTAAGTGCCTCTGATATTCCATAAATAAGTTGGCTTTTCCTGACTTTTAAATTTGTTTTCACAGAGGCTTCAAGGGTTTGTGTTAACACAGACTGTTATTTGGACCTGTTCAAATTTCTCTGAACCTTAAATAAATCCGAAGATCAGCTCCAAAGTATGATGCTGCCACAGGTGGGCCAAATATTCAAAATTGGAAACAAATTTGAAAAATTCATCTGGGAAAATGTGTTCTGATCTGGTTATGGTTATAAAACTTGTTGGCCATAATTCCAAAAGCTATGTTTGGTGTAAATATAACACTGCTGATCACCAAAAAAACAAAAAAACAAAACAAAAAACAACAACACACCATACCTAGAGCGTAGCTTGGTGGTGGCAACATTATGGGGCTGTTCTTTTTCAGCTTGAACCAAGACCTCGTCAAGGCGGAGAGAATTATGAACAGTTCCAAGTACCAGTCGCTGTTAGTGCAAAACCCCTTGGCTTCTACAATAAAGCGAAGCAAAAAAAAAAAAGTCCCAAAATGTCTCAAAGCACAGCTGGAATTTATTTGCGATCAGTCATAGCCACGTTACATGCTCGAATGTGATTGGTTCAATCTGACCACAGACATATCCAATTTTTAAGAGGCTGTGCACGGTTGTGCATCCACATTAGTTGCAGAGGGACATGTAATACTTGGGATGGAATTCTATAAGGGGTTGAAGGACTTGGACTACCCACCAACCTTGGAGCTCAGTCTTGTGATAACCATGTGTTATATTTGCGTTACTGTTCTCTTGTGTTCTTCCACTCCCTCTCCGGTTATCTCATAAGGTGACATTCCTCCAGCAATTCCTCAGCTATCTCTCCCACTTTTCATCTTTTCCCCATTGTTTACAGCCCTCTCCTTTCTCACTTAAGTTTGTTTCCTCCTGGCTCCGCTGCCGTTAGCCGTGGCCCCTCCCCACCTCCCTTCCTCGAAATATAGCAAAGGTGTGACAACATTGCAGCCCAAATATTTCACTCAAGAAGCAGAAGAGCTAGAATCAAATTTGGAAAAGGGAAGAGTGTAAACAAATATTAACAATTCCCCTCATAGGCCACACGACATTGGGCACCCCCGCACAGTCTGATGAGACCCAAGGAAAACATTTGCGCAAAAAATTGTATCAAAATTCAATGCAGAATAATGCTCAGTCGTGACGACACAAACATTATAAGTGTGTTTATTCTGCGTTTGCAGTGCATCTCACTACACTCTTGTCTAACGATTTTCATAATTGTTTGAGGTTCTGAATGCAGTTGAGGCAAAATGGAGTGCAATACTAGGCAGCAACCAGCAGATGAACACCTCATGGAGCTTTTTAGTGGTCTGTGCATGTCTGTTCAATTAATGACAGAAAAGTATACTGCCATGATGCAATGTCAGGAATGTAGAAGCTAAACATGACAAGGTTATGTGACACGTTGGACTGCTATTTTTTGCTTTGTGTATAATGAGTGCTTATAGTGAGGAGGATGAGGTTTAGGGTTAGCAACATCTCATGGAAAATTCTCTTCTTCTTCCAAACACAGCCAGAATGGGATTATATGGAGTGGTCGGAATGAGTCTAATATGATCTAATTGGGTTCTTAAATGATGTTCTCAAGCAATGTAATCACAGTTTCTGTCAAATAACATGAGCCGTTATGCCTGAGGTTGGAATAGATTCATATTCCAAGCCTCAGTCGAGGCAACGTGAGACACTAACTGAGCAAAAACGATGACGGAGGATCAGGTTGCAGATGCCTGCGAGTCATTGGCATAATCTTCGGTACGATCCTTTCACCCTGCATTTGCTGCAACATTGACCCTAGCTCGCTCTTTGTATTCAGACCTGAGATCCTGTGAAAATTTATTTTGGAGAGCAAGATTAAGATTGTCTCAAAGCTTTGCATACTTTCAACGGATCCCTTGAGTCACACGGGACCAATCTTAAAATGGACGTGTTTATTAGCATGCTGCACCCATGTGGGCAGTGTCCAGCTAGCGATGCTGGAATGCACCCCCTTGGTAATTGATCTTAAATCCAATGACATTCTCTAAATTCTCCAATGCAAAAGTTAACAATTTTGCTGTGTGTCTAATTATTAGTGTTGTCTTTTTTGAGTTTTAATTCATACTAACAGAGTGGCAAAAGCAGATGTCTGTTGTGTTGTTTCTTCACATTTGCCTCAGATTACCCAGTTCTTTGTTGCTTGTTATCTTTTAAAGAGCGCGACACATTCACTGATTGAAGAAGGAATATGTTGGTACAAAAGTGAATATAGTTATTTTGAGAAGTATTGAAATGTGGACTGGATGGTTAGACATAGCAGACGGTTTACCTTGGCTTTATTTTAATATCATAAGAACAATTAGTGTCGATCGTGCTATTGTGAGGCAGTAGGCCGTAATAGTTCCAACGCGGATAATTTTTGATCACTGGCTGATGGAGCAAAAAGAATCATTATCTTCTGGTTTGAATTCCTGTACGTGTAATTGTCATTGTAAGGCTGCAGTTGATGTCTTCTTGAAATAAATGTTTCAAATATGAATAAAGTCCATCATTTTACCATCTGACTAGACACATGTATAGATGACACATGTAATAGACATAACTCATACAATAGAAAACATGCTTGATTTTATTTCATGAAACTTTTTTTTTTTATAATGAAAACGATTGCTGGCTACAAACTGTTGAAATTGCTCTGATGATACGTCATGCATTGGCAAAGTTGCTCAGACCTCCCGAGTGGATGCATGCAGTAATGTTACATGTTGCTCTGTTGTTAACCTGTCGGTTTATTCCACATGAGGGCACTCAAAGAAGTTGCTGTCAGAATGTTCACGGGAAATAGCATCTTAAATTTGGGGAATTATCTTTTGAAATAGGAATAAACCTCACGCATATTCTCAGGCTGTTTATTGAATATTATGTCTGGAGTTACATTATTTTTTAACAATCTGTGATGTCATAACAAGCATGCTCGGCTCATAAAGAAATTACCATGTGTGGTCCATATGTCTTGTTTATTCAGTATACTGTATGTTATAATTCAAGATAACGTTACATGTGTTTCATCTGATATCAAGAGCATCCATATCCATATTTTAACCTTCAATGTTATTTCCTGGCCCTGCAGAAATGTTCACTTCATTCAGTCAACTGACTCTTTGAGTTTATGGATACTATCTTCTGGATACATCTGAAGTTTTATAAGCTTTGATAAACAAGGGAACTTGTGAAATCCCAATTGGTTTACGCTCATTCATGGTTTGATTAAATAGCATGATTATTTTAGGACTATGCACAGTAATGCAAGTCAAATGACCACACCCAACAGGTAACAATAGACAGTTTTTGCGAGGCCTCGTACACTTTGTGTATTAGAATCCCTTTGAATTTAGGTCTTACACAGAACACACTATGTTGTTGAATTCATGTATTGAGTGTGGCATAAGATCAGGGATAGTAGCACAGTATTCATGCCTCCATAGCCGTTTTTCAACTTTCATCTTGGAAGTCGGCTCGAGTTGTCACATTTGGCTGCTTTTTGCAAACCAGGGACCGACCGATGTATGTGACTCAGTAACAAAAAGCTTGTATTATCCGAAAAGACTTTACCGCCCTCTAATGTGAAGCAATGGTAACTGCAATTCAGATTATTCTGGCATACAGTATACTGTATAATGAATTGAGACGTGAGAGAAAAACTTGTCTAAAATGGAAACGCAAGTCTTTTCCTGTCTGTGTATTTGAAATGTTTTGATATTTTCTGATGCAGGAAAACCAGTGGGTGACGTTCTTTCCCACCAGGGCTTGAAAGCACAAGAAACAAAACAAGGTACCTCTGATAGTTTTGCACAAGGTAAAGACAAATTCAAACTTGCCAGCTCATACCTATTATGTGTGTGTGTCCATATTTATAGATGGCTGATGAAGAGGAAACTAGGGAAGTGCTGTTTCCAGACTGGGAGGGTCCAGATAAAACTGGCCTGACTATTGAACAGACACGTGAAGGAGAGATCTTTGTGAAAGAAGTGAAAGGAGAGTCACCAGCAGCACGATCTGGGAAAGTATATGAAGGTAGTTTTTCATTTGTTTTTCTTAAAATCTGTTCTTTTGTTTTTGTCGTAAAATTCTACAAAACCCTTTCTGACTAAAACACGTGCACTTTTATTTAATAGGTGACCAGATTGTTGGTGCAACAATCTATTTTGACAACATGAGCTCAGAAGAAACAGCTGAGCTGCTGAAGACACTGAACCGCCACAAGGTTGGATTAAAACTACAAAATAAAGACAAATCGCCAATCTGCTCTCCCTTGAGTACACCATGTCGTTCTCCGTTGGGTACTTTGACATGGGAGGGGAAGTTAGGAAGTACCAGTCCAGACATCCTTCTCGTAAGTTTTTTTTTTTTTGGTAACATCTTACTTCTTTTCTCCTGTTGAATACATGAAATTATGTGGTGGAATCACATCATGTTGCTGGACGGATAGCTATTATTGTAATTCAAATTATTTTTTAAAAATCCCAAAATATATCCGAAGCATTTGTTGAGCATTGAAAAAAAAAAAAAAAAAAAACGAAACGCCTGACAGGTCCACATGCTTGTTGTATTTACAGTCCATGGTATTGGTGAATATGTAGCACTTGAAAATCATCCTTTGCTACACAATTTAATCTGCACATTAGCAGTTTTCTAATGCCTTATGCCTCCTGTTTTTCTCTGAACAGAGTGGGGATGATGAGGACTATAAAAGGATTTACACAAGGAAGATCAAACCAAGGCTCAAGTCTGAAGACCTTGCCGAAGGAGTGGATGTACGCACGGAGCGGCATAGCAGCACAAGTAGCGACGGCAGTACAATTACAACTGTTACCCGCCGTATCACCACCTACACTGTGGATATGCCAAGTGGCATAAGTGAGCAACTTGAACTTTCAAGTCCAGATTTCAAAGGGCAAAAGCAAGAGTCAGGGGATGGCTCTTTCGGAATGAGAATCTCACATGGCAGCCCTTCAAATGCAGGGGCAGCTGAAGGAGGAGTTTTTGACTTGGGAAATGTTTCTTCCAAGCTAAGGGAAAGTTCAAACACTGGTAGTAGGCACATTTCAATGGGAGGCACAGGAGGTAGAGAGGTATTTACAACAGATAATGACAATGGAGGGTCAATTTGTGTGTCTGTACCAGAAAAAGGAAAGCAGGTTTTTGTGACATCCATCGAAAAAACACAAAAGGGTGAGGGAACAAAGGTGAAGTTACCTGAAATTACTGTTAGTCACCCACATGAAAAGGAATCCGGCTCAATTAATATTTCAAACATCTCATTGAGCGGAGGTTTTCCAGATGCTGAAAGTCCATCTGCATATACTAACGTCAACATTCAAACAAAAAAGTATCACATTCGTGGCCCAGAGGTAACTCTGGAACAGAAAGAAGGGGATTTCAAAATGCCTCAAATAAATATAACATCATCTGGAACGAAAGGTTCAAATTTTGATGGAAAAACTCATGAAATTAAGATTAGTCAGACAGGCCCACCAATAAAAGGAAAAGTGAACATATCAACTCCAAAGATGGATGGGAATGTAAAAATACCAGACGTGGTCATTCAGGGTGCAGAGGTAAAAACTGAAGGGCTAAAAGGAGAAGGCACAAAGATGAGTAAATATATTCCCAAATCTGACATTTCAGGCCCCCAAGTCAAAGGTGACGTAGATCTGTCATCACAGAATACTGAAAAAGATGTAGAAGCAGCAGAGATAGAACTCCAAAGACCAAAAACCGACATAAAGGACACAATGGGTAGGATTGGCTTTGGGAAAATAAAAACGCCAACATTTCAGGAAGGGCAGGACCCAGACATGAACATAAAACTGAGCAAGACTGGTATTGATGTCAACGCTCCTGAGGTTGACATTCAAGGACCAATTGTTATCAAAGACCCAAAAGTCGACATTAAGGTTTTTCCAGGAAGCATAGGTCCAAAACTGGAGACTCCTGACATTGGCATCAACCTTCCAAAATCTAATGTTGACATAAATGTCTCTGAGGTTAACATAAAAGGTCCGTCAGTTGATGTCAGTCCTCCAAAAGGTAGTTTGAACATTCAGGGCCCTGCACCAATTATTGAGGGAGGTCGCATTGGCAGTACCAGTGTTAAGATCAAGGGACCAGAATTGCCTGAGGTGGATTTCAATCTGAAAGGCCCTAATCTCAAAGGTGACATAGATATGTCCGCACGACATATCCAAGGAGGGAGTAAAGCGCCTGAAGTAGAAATCAAAGGTAAAAAAATTGACATCAAAGGCCCCAAAACTGGATTTAAAATGCCAAAAGTTAGTATGCCAGAATTTGGGTTTGAAGGTCCAAAATTGAAGGGCCCTGACATTGACATCAACATTAACAAGGCCAATATTGATGTCAAAGTCCCTGACGTTGATATGAGTCTCCCGAAAACTGATGTGGACATCAAGGGTCCAGATTTAGACGTTGAATTACCGGATGTTAACATTGGCAGTCCAGGATGGAATATAACGGGACCAAAAGTGAAAATGCCAAAAATTTCAGGTCCAAATATTAACGTTCCAGATTTGGATATAAATCTAAAAGGTCCTAAACTCAAAGGTGATGTTGATGTGTCAGTTCCAAAAATCGAGGGAGATATTAAAGGGCCAGAAGTGGACATCAAAGGCCCAAAGGTTGACATCAAAGGCCCCAAGACTGGATTTGAAATGCCCAAAATAAGTATGCCAGAATTTGGCTTTAAAGGTCCAAAACCAGAGGGTCCTGACATTGACATCAACCTTCCCAAGGCCAATATTGATGTCAATGTCCCTGATGTTGATGTCAGTCTCCCCAAAACTGATGTGGACATCAAGGGTCCAGATCTCAACATTGAACTACCAGATGTTGACATTGGCAGTCCAGGATGGAAGATCAAGGCACCAAAAATGAAGATGCCAAAAATTTCTGGTCCAAATATTAACGTTCCAGATTTGGATATCAATCTAAAAGGTCCTAAACTCAAAGGTAATGTTGATGTGTCTGTACCAAATATCGAGGGAGAAATTAAAGTGCCGGAAATGGACATCAAAGGCCCAAAAGTTGACATTAAGGGCCCCAACACTGGAATTCACATGCCCATAATCAAAATGCCAGAATTTGGCTTAAAAGGTCCAAAACTGGAGGCATCTGACATTGACATCAACCTTCCCAAGGCCAATATTGATGTCAAAATCCCTGAGGTTGCTGTGAGTCTCCCTAAAACTGATGTGGATATTAAGGGTCCAGATCTCGACATTGAAGTACCAGATGTTGACGTTGGCAGTCCAGGATGGAAGATCAAGGGACCAAAAGTGAAGATGCCAAAAATCTCAGGCCCAAACATCAAAATACCGAATTTGGATTTTGATCTCAAAGGTCCGAAAGTTAAAGGTGATGTTGATGTGTCAGGACCAAATATCGAAGGAAATATTGATGTGCCAGACGTAGACATTAAAGGCCCAAAAGTTGACATGAAGGGCCCCAAAGCTGGAATTGAAATGCCCAAAATCAAAATGCCCGAATTCGGCTTTAAAGGTCCAAAACTGGAGGCCCCTGACATTGACATCAACCTTCCCAAGGCCAATATTGATGTCAAAGTCCCTGATGTTGATGTCAGTCTCCCCAAAACTGATGTGGACATCAAGGGTCCAGATCTCAACGTAGAAATACCAGATGTTGACATTGGCAGTCCAGGATGGAAGATAAAGGGACCAAATGTGAAGATGCCAAAAATTTCAGGCCCAAATATCAACATGCCAAATTTTGATTTAAATCTAAAGGGTCCTAAAGTCAAAGGGGATGTTGATGTCTCAGTACCAAATATTGAGGGCAGTAGTCAAGTACCAGAAGTGGACATCAAAGGCCCAAAAGTTGACATTAAAGGCCCAAAGACTGGATTTGAAATGCCAAAAATCAGTATGCCAAAATTTGGCTTTAAAAGTCCAAAACTGGAGGGTCCTGATGTTGACATCAACCTTCCAAAGGCTGATATTGATGTTAAAATTCCTGAGGTTGACCTTCAAGGCCCGAAAGTTGATATAAGTCTCCCCAAAGCTGATTTTGATGTCAAAGATGCAAACATTGACATCAAAGGACCAGAACTTGACATAGACAGTCCAAGTGGATCGATCAAAGGACCAAAATTCAAATTGCCAAGCATCTCCATGCCTGATGTGGATTTCCATCTGAAGAGTCCGAAACTCAAAGGTGATGTTGATGTGTCCGTCCCAAATATCGAAGGAGATATTAAAGTGCCGGAAATGGACATCAAAGGCCCAAAAGTTGACATTAAGGGCCCCAACACTGGAATTCACATGCCCAAAATCAAAATGCCAGAATTCGGCTTAAAAGGTCCAAAACTGGAGGGCCCTGATGTTGACGTCAACCTTCCCAAGGCCAATATTGATGTCAATGTCCCTGATGTTGATGTCAGTCTCCCCAAAACTGATGTGGACATCAAGGGTCCAGAAGTCGACGTTGAATTCCCAGATGTTGACATTGGCAGTCCAGGATGGAAGATCAAGGCACCAAAAATGAAGATGCCAAACATCTCAGGCCCAAATATCAGCATGCCACATTTGGATTTCAGTCTCAAAGGTCCTAAAGTCAAAGGGGATGTTGATGTGTCAGTACCAAACATCGAGGGAGATATTAAGGTGCCGGAAATGGACATCAAAGGCCCAAAAGTTGACATTAAGGGCCCCAACACTGGAATTCACATGCCCAAAATCAAAATGCCAGAATTCGGCTTAAAAGGTCCAAAACTGGAGGGCCCTGATGTTGACGTCAACCTTCCCAAGGCCAATATTGATGTCAATGTCCCTGATGTTGATGTCAGTCTCCCCAAAACTGATGTGGACATCAAGGGTCCAGAAGTCGACGTTGAATTACCAGATGTTGACATTGGCAGTCCAGGATGGAAGATCAAGGCACCAAAAATGAAGATGCCAAACATCTCAGGCCCAAATATCAGCATGCCACATTTGGATTTCAGTCTCAAAGGTCCTAAAGTCAAAGGGGATGTTGATGTGTCAGTACCAAATATCGAGGGAGATATTAAAGTGCCGGAAATGGACATCAAAGGCCC